GTGAATCACCTTCTCCTAAATTGTAAGCTTTTCTAAAATTACTGAAAAATATATGCGTTTCCTTCTAATGTTCATATCTTTCTAAAATGTTTTCCTCCTCTAGATTGATACTCTCCTCTTATATCTTCCATGTATTTCATTTGTATTTTCTTTATATACTTCACTAGCACATTGAATCCTACATTGAGAAGAGATGCTTTAGTAATAATTACCCCTTTTTGGTAGAGTGTACTTACGAAAGCTGCATTCTAATTTCTTTTCAACTGCTCTTGCGTCCATATCTCTTTTATCAAATGGTGAATTTTTCTGCTAATTCCTCACCTCTATATTGTAGAATTCTTGTAGGTACTAAGTCATGACCTGTACTTTAGTTCAGGTCTAAATCTCTACTTCTGCTATATGTTCCTCATTCAGAAGTTCTATAAATTATTCTCTACATCTTAATGTATGTGTGAGATACTTATAATTTGGTTTTAAAATACTAATGAATAGTATATAAGTGGTATTGATACGATAGCAAAGACACAAAAGATTAAATTGGCTGAAGACTTCTTTTCCTCCTGCAATTGATATTCTTATATAGGTAACTCAGATGCCACAGATTTAATAGGACTGGTACAATATGATCTTTTGATAAAAACAAATAGTACAAAAGTTTTAAAGTAAAAACAATTTTTTTATTAAAAATATTTATTTAGTAACCAAAATTAATGTTTCTTTTTCTTTTTGCTGAAACCTTCAAACTGCATACTTAACAACGGATTAGATTTTTTCATCTGGAACTTTGCACTAGAACTCTCTGACATTTTGTGATAATCCCTCTTTTTACCTTTTCTACCAATGTTTGCTAAACTTTTTAGAGTTGGAGGCACTATATACTCTGGAACATCAAAAAGATGTGGTTGAATTTTAACAGTATGTAAGCTTTTGTCATGTCTAAGAACTTGAAGATCTGTAGGGTTGTCTTCAAAATAGCTCTTCAGTTTTTGACAATTAAATATTTCTTGTTTAATTTCTTTTAGTCTAGCTTCCCTAACTGCAATTCTAGTAATAGCTCTCCAAGCATCTTTTGCTCTATACCTAAATGATTCTACTTCTTCTAGTTTAAATTGGTAAGATTTAAATATAGATGAATCATCTTCATTTTGCTTCAATTTCTTCTCAACTTTGTCTCTTAAATGACTCTCTTTCATACTGACAAAAGATAAAACACTACCCTGATTGTTACCCCTAGCTGTTCTGCCTGCTCTGTGAATGTAGGCTTGTACATCAAGTGGGAAATCAAAATTAATAATATTGGCTACATGCTGAAAGTCTATTCCTCTGGAAACACCACTCTCTTTGTCTTTTCTTCGTTTAGTTTTCTTTTCACCTTCTTTTTTTGATAGTACAGTTGGTTCTTCCAAAGCATGTTCATCAGATGCTATGATTATGTCATAGATTCCTTGGTTGTATTGATTAACTGAGTGGCACCTGTAACAAAATAAAAAAATATATGAAAGTATGTATCACTATCACAATATTAAAAAATGTTTGTATATATCACTTGATACAAAATATAAGTGCTAATATATGGTAAATAAAGTACCAGTGGATAGTTGTTTTAATACTTAGACTGATATTGGTGACGATCTAAGTATATCTCTGATACTTGGTGATATTGATAATGATTTGGTGATATTTTCGTTTCTCATTTTCTTGTCATTTGTATTAATTATTCATCAACTACGTTATTGTTATGAGTTTTGATTGATAGGTAAGTCAGCAGTATTTTTGTTATAATATTTACAATATCCTTTTATAGTTCATATCTCATTTTCAATATCTTCTCTCCTTTAAGCAGGTCATTTCCTCTGTTTTACTATTCAATTATTGTTTTGGCTTTAATTTGAATGTTAACTATTACTCTAATAATGTAATGCTTCCTGTTATAAACTGACTAGAGGTGATTTTTCATTATTACATAAGTGGATTTTTCATTTTTGAAGCCATTCAGGAGTAAGTTAAGGTGCTAATTCAACTATTGGGTAACTATTGAGTAACTATTATGGTCAGATATATAAAGGCCAATAGACTCAGATGGCAGGACATGTGATACGCAGTAACGACAATCACCTTATAAACAATGTGTTCTGGGAAAGGCCAGATGGAAGAAGGTCTGTAGGGAGGCCTAGAAAAAGGTGGAAAGATGTAGTCAAAGAAGATCTAGAGAAAATGGAAGTGTGACAATGGGAATTATTGGCACAGGACCGACAAACATGGAAGGCAATAGTAAATGCGGCAAAGACTCACAAAGTGAGTGTAACATGAGAAGTATGACACTAATCAAACTGATGTGGGCCAGAATCCAATTGAGATAAAGCAGTTGATTATCATGTAAATTACTTTTTTATACTTTTTCTTGTAAAAATTGTTCAAAAACTCTTTTAGACAAGATTGGATGCAATATTATTATTTGTAAATATGAGCTTGTTTAAATTATAGTAATTGGGAAAATTGATCACTATGTTTAATACAAATTTCATAAATGTATTCGATTATAATATAGTGGGTCAGTCAAGGATAACAAATTGTGGATAAAGGGAGTGAAATCGACACAGACTTACCTTATTGTAGCAGGCAACTCAGAATTCAACACACAAGTCCTAATACCAAACTGCTCCAAAAACAATTTAATTTTGTAACATTTGTCCACTGAATTAACAAAAATTATAGTCTTTCCTCTTATCAAATGAAGTTTTAACAATGTGTAAAGTATCGTAGCTTTATCCATTTCTTCAGCATTTAAATGGTAATGTGTCAATTGACTAGAAGGGGCTAATTCTGGTTCCTCAAGCTTGATAGAAACAGGATTGTGGAGAATGGAATTCTTTAAACTTTTAACATCTTCACTCAAAGTTGCAGATGCCAAAATTGCCTGGTAGATTTTTGGAAAATGGGTAATAAGTTCCTTCATTTCTTCTTCATATCCAAAAGAAAATACTAAGTCCGCTTCATCTATTACAACCAATTCTAGTGACTTTTTAAGATTTAAATTATCTGCCTTTATATGCTGCAAGGTCCTTCCTGGTGTTCCAACAACTATATCTGGTTTTTCAACTAACAATGGTTTCTGTATACTTAAATCGACTGGTAAAGAAATATCAACATATCGAACTTCTCTAGAACATTTTATAGTTAGATCTTTTATTACTCCACATATTTGATGACACAATTCTCGACTAGGAGCTAAGATCAATGCTTTGGTTTCTTGTTGAGCAGCTGTCTGTTTGATGTTCAATATTTTTTGTATTACTGGTAAAAGAAAAGCGGCAGTTTTACCTGACCCAGTTCTGGCCCTTACTAAAACATCTTTTCCTTCTAACAATAATGGAATCACTTTTTCTTGAATTATGGTTGGTTGTAGCCATCCCACTTTTGCTATAGCCTTAAGTATGCGGTCGTCCAATTCCATCTCGTGGAATTGAACTGTTTTCACGTCTGTATCTTCAGACATGTTCTTTATCTTTTATAAGAATTATTTTTACCCCTTCACGTGTTATTGTAAACATAACCAAAAATTAAGGAAGATGGGATCATAACCTCAATTCCATGTTCTTCTTTTTTGAACTCCATTGCCTTCTCCATAATGCGTAATTTTTTCTAATGATGAATGAATCAATTGAGAAATTTTTACGCTTCTATAAATATTATCTATTGGTTTCACATTATGTTTAACATAATTATCTTTTCGCATTCGCATTCTATCATTTGTCTCTTAATTATCCTGGTACATATATACGATGTCTAAACCTTCTATTATTTATTATGGTCAATCATAAAATGTAAGAGATATTTTGTAGGACTAGAGACAGTCTAACTAATACGGGACATGGGGAACAGTTTTGCGAAGTTAAAAGTCGGTCTTGTATAACAGGTGCAAAGAGAATATTCCCAACAAATCATTCTAGTGGAAGGCGAAAAACAAAACAGTAAATAAGAATGTTGAAGAAAGGAATCTTTAGATCCAATTCTAGCTTTTATTTGGATGAAAGTCAGTATTTGGACAAAAAGGTAATGCCAACGAATGGGAAAAGACATAATTTCTAAGAACAGAAAACCGCCAAGTGGTAAACAGGGAGAGTGTAAAATAACAGAAGAAACTCGAATAGGAGCGTATATATAACTAAATAGTCAGGAATCACAGGCACAACAGAATTATATTTCAAGACGAACTTCACGTTATTTAGAAGATGCGTCCAGTTAAACTTGGACAAAAAACCATCCATAACAAGAAAAGACCATAATAATCAGAGAGCTTAATATTAAAATTAAATTAAATATTACATTTATACAAGATTAAGCCACAATTGATTGTAATGAAAAATATATTTTATAATAGTTTTGATGTTTCGAATTCGACTGCAGCAATCGTTTTCAAAAAAGATTATCTTAAATTAGGGAGTTGTTATTATCACGTATAGTTATTTTGGCGCTTTTGTTTGCTAAATTGATTCAAAATATTTTTAAAACTTAATATTAGCTCTAAACATTATATTATTATTAATACTATAACAAGTCTGAACTAATGTATTTAGAAAAAGGAATAATATCCATATGTAATGTTGGTTATCTATATGTAGGCTAAAACGAAAAAGCTAATGAGCATGCTTGTTCTGCGGCAGAGATATGTATTACATATCTGTTCTGCGGCTACTATATTTAGAATTTTTTGATACTTTGCATTGACAGATCACATCCGTCGGCTGTCGGTATGTCATTTTAACACATACACGCCTGCGTAAAGAAACCTATAAAATTTAAAACTTGTTTGGGTGTGAAAAATGGTAGAGGAATGTTGTGAGAATATATTATTTACCGTAAGATTTAATAAACAAGTATTATAAGTGTCAATGGTTTATTCAAATAATACTAATTTAAGTTATAGTTAATAGTGTTTGTGTTACAAAGAAATATTTTTTGTGAGTTTTTTTTCCTATTTTTTGTTAACAAACTAAGAAATGAGTAAAGATACGCAGAACATGGCTTTAGATATGAGTGGTTCCGGTAAGTAATATTTATATAAGTAATAATAGTCATGGAAAGAATAGTCACTCAGTTTCACTTCCATCCTTTTATTGTACAAAAATTAACGGTTTAAACCTAAATGCAAAATGTTTTTCATGCCCTTTTTCCAAATTTCAGATATCACAATGGAAGTGGTTTTGAAAAACATATACACTTCATGTGACCCAAATAACATGAACAGTGTCCCTACCTCAGAACTCATTGAGTTTATCAGACCCTACATGCTGGAAGATCTGTAAGTAATATTGATAATATTACATATTATTGTTTTATAACCTTGCAAACTACATTCTTAAACTGGTTTTGTGCATCCAAAAGAAACTGAAAGTTGTTACCTACTTACTTAATTTTGTAATTGTTTACAGTAAATCACTTAAGTGAATATGGGTATTTAAGCTGATTTCAAAATCATTTAAAAGTAAAATCATGCTTATAACAGTAGTGTTGATAATTATTCTATTTGTATTGAATTTCTGTGTCACACAAATACTGTTACTGGTGTAAAAGTGACTTCCTGATACATAAATTTGAAATATGGAAAAATTTAGTGAAGAATATTAAATATTAATATTATTATCTGACATTTTATTTAATAACAGTTATATACTTCCAATAATTCTTATTCACGCAGTTTTAGTTATTTTCTATTATTATTTCATTCACCAATTATTAAAATAAGGGTTCATACAGATTCTGTGTTGAGTGTGAGGCATTGGTGCTTTCATTTTTATTTCCTTTAGTCTACCCTAGAAATGACTATAAGTTTAAATTTAGTTAATCTATACACAAATAGTTAAGTTGATTGTAATAAACCAGATTTTAGATTTTTGTAGAAATTTCTTAAGAAGGTTGTTTAAAACTATGATTTCTATATCCTTATGCTACAAAAATAGTGGAATTTTTAAAATGAATATGGATTTATGATACAAATGGATAGATATAAATTCGTTTGTAATGTATGTAATGAAATATAAAAAATTGGCAAGTCTAGTAAAAAAAATTCCATTGTGTAAAGCCAGAATTTGCAAAAAGTTGTACAAACAGTGCTTTGGAATTCTCTTAACTGTTTATGAAAATTTGGCAAGAAAACTTTTAAATTCCCAAAAACCAATGGGACCAAGAGAAATGTGATATCTTTCTTGTTTTTGCATAATTTTGTAACCCAGGTATTATCTGGAAAACTAGAAAATTTTCTAAACTTTAACAAGTGATAAATTCTTTATTATTTATACCTTAGATCAAGCTCTCTTTAATCTCTTATCATTTTATTCAATTCTCTTGTAAACTAATTAACTAGGATGATATAATAATATCAAAGTGTTTGTGCTTTTCTAGTATTTCATTCCACAATTATTATATTGAGGGTTTATAGGGGTTTACTGTTTGATGTAAGCATGGTATTTCTCCTATCATTCTAAATGTCTAGGATTGGATCTATTGTATTTAGAAGACTTTTCTTATATTCTTAACTCTTTCCCATAAGTCCCTGTTCAGTCTAGTAGGGATCTATTAAAACATAGCCTAAGTTGGTTGTAATAAGATAAAATTTAGATTTTCATACATATGTCTTCTGAAAGCTGTTTAAAATGATATTCTCTATATCTTTAAGCTAAAAAATAGTGAATTTAGAATGAAAAATCTACATATTACAGCCCACTATTTTTTAACATTTTATGCTGAGTATATGGAGAACTAGAATTTGCTAGAACTATCCTGTCTGTGACAAAAATAGATAGTAGTCAAATTGTTTTCAATGAAATTTTCTACAAAAGTTTGCATGTGTCAATATTAAAAAATTTATTGTGCAAAACTCAAAAGTTTCTGAACTTGTTTATCAATATTTTAGATTACCTTCAAAACAATGAGTGAAAAATGTGTTGTTATATAAACCACTGATTTTTTTTATTTTTAAAAAAGTAACAAGCTCCTATATCTATTTTTTGAAAATTTAAAATTGATTAAGTAATTAGGTGAAATTGGAAAATGTTTTTAAAATTATTCTTTTCCAATTTCCTTTCTCCAAAATTTCCAATAATTAAAATTATTGGCTTATTAACAAATACAACATCTTGAAGAGCTTTCACTCAATAGTGGTGTTGACTCAATTGCTCAAAAAAATGTGATACCATTTTTATTTTTGCATAATAATCTATCTGTCTGGAAAGTTACAAAAATGTCAAAACTTTTTTAAGTAGAAAATTTTTTGTTATATTATTCAATTATTATTTTAGAAAATATTCAGAACATTTTCATGTACAATGACTGCAAACTGTTGGTTTGTTTTCTGAGACATGTATTAAAAATTCTGTGGCAAGTCTGCTAAATTTGTATCTGTCAAGAAAATCAATTATTTTATAGTAGCAGGTTGTTGTTTGGTTGTTTTGTTCTTTTTGTTTCCTGGTTCTCTAGAATTTGGTACACAAAACTTTGTCTTCAGTTGGTGAAGTGACTGCAATATGTTCATCAGCAAGATACACTGAATGGTAAAAAGTCTCCAAAAAAGAACCCATATAAATGTCCGAAAATAAAAATTCATTGCAAGTTTTATGCACTATTTCATATTGTATCTATAAAGTTTTTGACAGTTTTGACATTTATGCTGTTGTTTTCTATAGTTTCTATTTATCTTGTAAGTTGAAAATATTTAATTAGTTAAACAGTAATTTAGTTTTCAAACATGGATTTCGACTAAGTGAATGATTAAGAAATGGTAAATCAAGTTTATGTATCTAAAACTTTAGGTATTCCAAGAACTACAGTACGGAGAGCTTTCCATTGCTTTGGTTTTGGTCGTAGAAGAGTTACCTCACAAAGAGATGCTTGTTTTATTGTGATGGAACTTTTAAGAAATCACCATTCCACTGGAATGGCTGCAAGAAACTGTCTGCAAACGAGAAATAAAAATATGCCCAAACTTGTATGTCCCAGAGAAGAAAGTTTGGTGGTGGTGATGTCATGGTTTGGGCTGGAATCTCATTTGAAGCTCAAACTGAACTGATTTTCATCTATGGTCCCCTGAAATGCTCACTGGTATATAGATGCTGTTTTTGCAAAATCAGTAGCTTCATTTGGTCCATTTATTGTGGACAATTTTTTCTTTATGCATGATAATGCGCAGTCGCATACTGCAAGAATAGTGAACAATTACTCATGGGAAGTAGGAATTAATACTTTAGAATGGCCTGCAGCCCTGATCTAAATATTATTGAACACCTTTGGGATAAACTTCGTTGTAGTGTTAGAAGCCAACTAGGCCAGCCATAAAGTCTTGCAAAACATGCTTTGTGAAGAATATAAACATATTCCTCAAGTTTTTATTCAAAGTTGTTACTTTCCCTTCCAAATCGTATGCAAAAGGTTATTGATGCTTTAGATTTTAGGGGATAATGAAAATCAATTATGCTAAGGAATCAAGCAGTAATGGACATTTTTTTGTTTTAAAAATAAAATTTGTTGAGTATACAATATGAAAAAGTGCATAAAACTTCCAATGAATTTTTATTTTGAAATTTAGGGGCCTTTTTTGCTGTTCAGTGAATAATATAAATTGCTGAATTGAAATTTTCTTACTTGTTACAGCCTGTTAAAGATACCAAGCATTTTTTGCTGCCAAATCCAAATCATTGTTAGAAACCTACAGTGATCACCACCTTACACTTGCTTTTACAGTGTATTTTTTAGCCATTTTGCCAATAACAAAAGATTTGGTTTTGTTATAAAATTATATAACTTTTTGTCTTTTTTTCTCCATTTTTAATTGACACTGACAAGTAAAGTTGGTTTTCTTTGGCTTGTGTAGAAAGAGTCACATTTTCTTGCTTTTCTATGATTATGGTCGCTATTTGCTACTGCTGTTGAATCAGTCTGCTACAAGGATTGTGTCATTTGTTTCAAGCTATTGAGCAAGGTGCAAAGAAGTAAAAAAGTTGTCAGTTGTTACATTTTGTCCTTTTTTAAATATAGCTGTAGCAATTCTGTCACTACATAATCTGAAATTTTTTTTGTTTAAGGGATTACTGTCATGTTTTCCTAAATATGGAAAACCCTTTAGCTGATATCCTAATTCTGCATCTACAGCTAACCGAAATTTGATTCCAATGTTTTCATTTGGAATTAAGCAATATTGGCAGTTTGAAATATTGAAACTGGAGCACGTTTATACATCTGAAATCTCTTCCTACACATTGATTGGATTTAAAAACATATACATACTTCCATGATTTGCAAAAACCTGTTAGGATTCTACTTGGCTGATGAACAGTGAAAATCATAAACAGTCAATGAACAACCAAGAAGCACTTGAAACTGATTCAACAATAATTATGGCTTTTGTATAGATGGTTGGCCCTGGAGGGCATTTTATAGTATTTTGTTTAACTGCTTTACCTCCAACACAAGTATTTAGCTTGATTTTTACACATAGTAGTAACAGTAACTGCTATCTTTTATTTCCATGCTAGATTTTGAAGCATTTTGGGTGTCTACAACTCAAATGTTGTAAAGTTATCAATACTGTCATCACTGGAGTTACCCAATGACTGGTGAAAATTTTCATCAGCACTCTTATTATGACTGTCAAAGTTAGAGACATATTTCTGTCAGATGTTTGTTATTCAGAAAATTTTTAATGTGGGAGACTATTCCGCAAAATAATTTAAACCTGCTGCTGTCAGTCCACCAGTGACTGCTGCGCTCCCTAATCGACATCCTACATCCACGGGATGTATGGTACAGGGAAAAATTTTTACATAAGCAATGCCCCAGAGAGCTACTGAACTTTGAGGCATTATAGCTTTGGCTCTCTCTCTAGTTTCATCCCTCCTTGTGGAGTAGTGGGTGCTTATGCATCAACTAGTGGAATTAAAATGGACATGGATTCGGAAGGAAAAAGAGATGGTCCAGAAGGGAACTCAAACATAAAGTGACTTTCCACAAAAACACAGACACACACAACAAAGTAAATCCCAGCTCAAGGGGACATGAGATTACTGGAGTAAGGTGTTCTTATGTCAGAAGATAAAAGTCTCGTGAAGATTTTACATGACTCAGTCCATAAATAAAAATGTAAGGGAGTCTAAACGAATCTATTCAGGGTCCTACACCTGAAATTTCAAGCTTGCTTCGGTAGAACATACTGTTGCTATGAGAAGACTTAATATCACATTAATACAAGAGCCCTAAGTAGACTAGGCTAAATAAAAGTCTATCGGGACGTTGGCGAAAAAATTTATATAT